TCACTTCTACCTGCATCCAAAGGATGCCTCTTTCACGATCAATCAGTGTGAAAAGTTTGGGGAAGAAGTAATGCTTGTAGATAGCCATTCATTTAAAATAGTTACCATCCTCCAGACTGGCAGAAGAGATGGCAGAGGGACTCAGAAACCCTGTTCTTTACTAAGATTTGCCTGCCTCCTAACCATCTTCAGGGAATTACTTCTGCCACTACCTCTAGGTGGCACTGTTTCCCCTTTAACGCTGCTCTGTGTCAGCATGCACTATTTTTCTTTGTAATACCTCCATAGCACAATGGAAGCAAGTCTGAAAATTGTGCAGAAATCTCCACTCAACGCTAGGAGAATAGCAAAAAGGAAATTCTATTACATATACTGTGTAATTAAGTTATTTACTTTTTAAGTTTTGGCAATGGCTTACTATCTGAAACCTATAGATCCAATCTACCCTGGTTCTTGTCTGGTTGTCACAGGTCAGAGTTCTCCAGAGGCTGAGTATTGCTGAAATAGAGGAATAGGGATGGTAGAATGTGGATCAGTAGAGAAGCTTAGTGGAAGGTATCTAGAAGGAACCAGATGTGACTAGTGTGAGGTATGTGGGGAACTAAAAAGCAATAGAGCAAATTTATTATTTCAAAACCTGAAGCCCCCTAAGAGAATTAAGGAGTAGAGATGGCAGAGTAGAAGTTTGAAACAATAAATGGCTGGGCTCAAAAGAATGTGGCTGTGAAGATGTAGAACGGGAAAGATCTTGGGGACAAAGAAAAAAAAAAAGCTGGGATTACAAGAAAATCCAGCTACACAGAATAAATGGATGTGAAAAACTAAGCATGACTTCTAGTTCTGAGTCTGACTGTGTATAGAGAGGAGGAGATACAAGACAGGTAGAGATGAACAGCTCCTGGGAGAGAGAGACTTTTGGGGGGAATGAGCCTCCTAGAAGTGTTGTTTAAGCTGTCCTGAAAATCAGGAAAACTGGGGGGAATCTGGAGGATGTATTAATGACTGATCTGAGCCTGGGGAAATAAGGGAAATCAGTTCTTAGATGAAAGCCTTATCCTTTCTCTCTGAGGTTGCCCATGAGGTTTCATAATTTTTCCTTCAAGCTCTGCTTCTTGGGGTATTTACACATAACACAAAGAAAATGCTGGTGTGTGTTCAGCTTTTTGTTGTTGTTGTTGTTGTTTCTTTTTTCAAGAAGGAAAAGATTCTTTTTACAAAAAAGGACTTTGGGTAAACATCCTTCATGGGTTGTCTGGCCCTTCTAGCGAATGCAAGCTCAGGGTTCAGGAGAGGCAGGAAGCTACAGCCCCTGGCCTTAGACAGCACCTTGCAGGCAGTGTTGAGGAAACACAGTCTCCAGCAGAAGTTAGTTGACCAGTGCTGGCAAGTAGAAGAAGCAGAGGTCAAGACTTAACTTACAAAGTCTTGGAAAAAATACAGGATTTTCCTGGAGAAATTGCACCTCTCAGCTAGACTAGCAGAGGGACTGTGCACTTAAGGTCAGGGTCCGGCCCAGAAGTAATTCCACGGGGAAAAGGGGAACTCAGTTAGAACTTATAATTGTCTACTTTGTTAGAAAGACATGTTGTGGAAGATTTCAGTCATCTGTAAAAATGGTCAGATCAGTGTACCCATAATTCAGTTTCACCCATGATCACGTCGTGGGAAGTTTTGTTTCAAGTATATCTTCCTTTGCTTCTATGCTATTTTTGAAGCTTATCCCAGATACTATATTATTTCATCTATAAATATTTTAATATATATTTGTCAAATATCTATTCTACATTCAGTCCTCTAATAGTCTCATAAATGTCAATTGTTTTTCTTTTAAACCAGAATCTAAATAAAGTTCATCTATTACGACTGGTTTAACATGTCTTAAAATCTGCAAGTTTCCCTCCCTATCCTCTTAGTTTATTCCCTGTAGTGAGTTTTTGGGAGGAAAACCTTATTCTCTCAGTCATGAGGATGGGAAGACCTCTGTGGTAGAAGCAGCTAGCTGTTCTCCAAACCTGTTTCCTTTTCATCCCAGGCACACAACTAAATCAAATTTCCCAGCCTTCTTTGCAGTTAGGTGTGGCCAAGTGACTGACTCCTGGCCAAGGGAATGTGGGCAGAATCACACAGAATGGGTGTCCCTCTGACATGGCATGTAAGAATCTCAATGTGACATCTCCACTCTTCCCCCGCTTCTTTTGCTGAACTTGGGAGCCATGCATTAAACTCAGTGGAACAGTGATGAGCAAGGAGCCTCCATCACTGAGTCAGCACTTGGGAGACAGCTCCTGGCTGCTCAGGGGCATCTTTTGCTCTGCTACTGACATTTTCAGTTTACTTGTAACAGAGGCTAGCATTTCCTTAACACATACAATTTTATATAAATTCATTATAGAGCGGTGGCTCTTAATTCTGGCTGAACACTACAAACCCCATGAGAATTTTTTTTTTTTTTTTTTTTTTAGAAAAGACTGATGCCTGGGTTCCAGGGTTCCATTCTGGGCCAATTAAATGTGAATCACTGGGAGAGGTTCAGAGCATTTAAACAGGGTATTTAAAAAGAGCACAACATGTAATTCTAATATCTTGGCAGGATTGTTAGTGATTCTGAGGTCAGTTCTTCTTAAGGACTCCTTTTCTTGCCTTCCTACGGTGCTAGGCTGAAAATCCACTCTAGATCTCATTTCCCTTATTTTGTACAGATATTAGGTAGAAAAGGACTCTCTGGTTAGTTTTCAGGATTCTGGTGTGTAGCGTAGTATAATCAGGTTTTGGCCTTGTCCCTTCCAGATGCCTCTATATAATACCACATGAGTGGGACTTATTTTTCTGCTGTGCATGCAATCTGAAAGTTTTCCATTGTGGTTTTCTATTTACATGTGTGGTTCTGCTGAGAGACAAAGAACCCTCTTGAAAAGAGCCCTGTTTCCAGTCATCATGTCTCATGAATGGGACAGTGGTAGGCAGGCGGGCAGTAGGTTTCACTAAATATTACTGACGAAAGCAGAAGTGAATGAACACATGCGAAGATTATGGAAGCTACTGTGCAGAGCAATTCTTTGAGAGAGGAGAACTAATTGTAAAGAGAAATGAGGAGACGGCTAACTCCAAGGAAGTAAAGCCAGAAGGCTTCTGGTAAACTAGGTTTAAAAAGGAAGCATGTAGGGAGGAGAACAGTAAGACCCACCGCATCATTAGAATCAAAATTATTCAAGGTACCAGAGAGTAAGCAAATATCTAAATCATACGATGTTAGAATTGGAAGTGACCCAAGCCATGATTTAGTCTGGCAATTCTCTAAGTGTGAACCCCTAAGACCCTTTCAGGGAGTCTGGGATACTACATTTTATTTGCTTTTTTGCTTGTGTTGATACTCATGTCAATGGCACTAAAACAACAGAGGCGAAACTGCCGATGTTTTTGTATATTTTAAGGCAGTGACACTGAACTAAACCAGTAGTCGTTGATTATACTCTGCATGGCAACACACTCAAAGTTAAAAAGAGCCAGTTTTATTTAACAGTGTTCTTGCAGAAGCAGTGCAAATTACTAATTTCATTAGATCTTTGCCCTTGAGTGCCTGACTTTTTAGTCTTCTGTCTCTACTGCTTAGTGAAGCATGGTGGCTGCTTCTAGGAAAGGCATTTCTGTGGTTATGTGAGCTGCAAACTGAACTAGGTACTCTTGTTCATGGAATACAATTAATTCTTCCTTGAAAGAATGATTGATAAACTAGTCATTTTGATTCGGAAGCAGGCTGACATTTTCTTGAAAATAAAAGAACTGAGCCTACTAACTTGAAAACAACCACAAAACCCAACAATACCCGAAAGTATTGGTTGGCAGTGATAAAATTTGAACTTTCAGGCAAAAATAGAGTTCTGGAAAACATATATCTGTATTAAGTATTAATGGATGTAGCCCACATAAACAAAGACTTTCCAGGGCTCCTCAATAATTCCGAGGAATATGGGGGGCTCCCAGGACTAAAATAGGGCAGTAATCCATCACCTCATTATCCTGATGGAAAAACTAAGGTGAAGGAAAGAGGTGGACATTAAACATTAGAAATAAGTTGTTAAAAGAAAAGTGATACTGTTCCCCCCCGCCCCCCCGGAAGAAATCACTTTCAGATAGAAAACAAACAACTCCTTCTTAGAAGTGGTTCTGTTGAGTGTTTTTGTGCCCTATAAATGCAAATTGCTATCAATAGAGATTCTAAGCTTGAATAATATATGTCAAGGTGCAACTTACCAGAAATGAGTGATTTACTTTAGTATTCTAAAATTTAAAATCTTAGTATGGATCTCAGTAACTTTTTTTTTTTGGACAAAAAAAAATAACAAAAAGAAAACAACAACAAAAAATTGAGTGTTAGCCACAGTAAAATGGACAATTTATGCTAATGAGACCTGAATCATGGCCAAGCTGGTATCTTGGTTCTCAGGTCAGGTAATTACAGGAAACAGGTCAGAAATGAGACCTTCTGTAACAGTCTTCTGTGAGAGAAAGATGATGGTGGTGGGCAGGACTCTGGGTGCTTTAAAATATATTCTCTAAGTCCACATCATTCTCAGAGATATAAGAGTGCCCACCCAATAAAAAACTCTCAATGACCAGTGACATTGAATTTCAAGTCATGTAGAATTGTTGGAAGCTACTGGGGAAGAGAAGCAGGAAGGTACAGGGTTTGAGGACATATCAGAAAAGAGACTGTTGTAGATTTGGAGACAGTGTGTTAGACATGGCCGTAATGGTATGTCCTTAAAGGCCTGCATCTGACCTTCTCCACTGTATCACCTTATCATTGTCAAAGTAGGAGCATAGAACATATTCCTTTACCAGTGGGACCCCATTTATACTCTAGTCTGAGGACCTACAAATGTCAGGGCCAGGTTTGTCCAAAACTATATTTACAGACATGCTGGCTGACCTTTAGCACTGGAACATTCTGGGTGAGCCCTGGCCTCTGTCTCCAATCATTTCTTATCTAGAAACTCAAACCACATTGTTACATTGTAAACTCTTAGCAAAATAAACAGGTTTGTATCTAGGCATTATGTCAAAGAATTTTACAAGTCATTAAAGTTGTCAAAGGGGGTGTTAATTAACTTCTCCCTGAGGAGGAATAAACTGGACTTGAAGAAGAGCTACTGGATTGTGTTCAAAGCCAGTGAACAAAGAGTGGACATCCTCCCAGGGACGTTCGGAAGGCTTGCCGGCTGTTGTTGCTGGAATCTTACCCATATGTCGGTCCAGAGAGACGGCTGCCCCAAGGCAGAGTGACTAACTCATCTGCAGCTAATTCAGTGAGCATCAGCCCCAGAGGAGCAGTGCGTGGAGTCTGAGCTCCTTAGTCGTGCCTGAGTCTGGGTAAGCGCCATACATTGGAGAAATGCCTGTTGACTCACCCTCCTTAAGGCAGATGGCTCAGTTAGCAATCAGAACAGGGGCTACTGTTGGGAGTTAGAGATATGACATTCTCAATCTTTGCAGGTTGCTTATAAACATGGCTGCCTCTGTAGAGTGCTTCCTGTGTGTCACTATGCATTTTGTGATCATTGTTTACTTATTTTAATTTAAATTCACATAGCACTATTTTGAGCCAGCACTGTTCTAAACCTTTCAAAATGTTAATTCCTACAGTTTCATAATAACTTTATATGTGAGCACAATCAATGATGAAATTCTCTTTTACAGTTGATGACACCGAGGCACACGGTAGTTAGGTAATGAGTAGTTCGATTGTACCACCAGTAGGTAGTGGGTTGGGGGACATGAACTGAGACAGTCTGCCTGCAAGGGCCCAGCTCATGTTATGTTCAATGCTCCTGACAGCCCTTTAGGACAGACACTGTTATCCCATTCAATGAGGGAAGAACATGAGGTTCAGTCCTCTAGGTTTTCTAACTTCTTTCGGTAAGACATTCAGCTCAGGTCACCTATCTGGTTGAGAGGTATCCAGGTTTGGAGTCTGTGTACTCAATCAGCTGCGCTGGGGAGTAGCCCTTGACCCTTTTCTGAGAACTCTGGATGAAGAGGAGTTTTCTATGTGTTGAAAGGTTTTGAAGTTTTTGAGGTCAGGCTTATTATCATTGTCATTTCATTCTCCCTAATGACAGACTTGAGATGAGGGCCTACAGGTGGAATGGCAGAAGTCCTGTGATCAATTTTCAAAATGCTTGAGATCTGAGAAGAGGCAAGGTGGGCATTTGCAGGGAGCTAAAGCACAGTTACGGAGTGCTCAGTTGACAAAGGCCACGACCATGACCTCAGGAGATTCATGAAATGCCTCATCATACAGTGGAAATGATCACAGGCGGGAGACTGGCCGATCTGAGTTGTCGCCCACCTCCACTGTTAACTTGATCACTTGGAGTCTCCTCTTCTCACCTGTAATTTGGTTGGCAGTGCTGACCACACTAGCTTGAGGTGAGGATGGGGTACAGAGCAGGCAGCCCAGGAAAATGCTGGTTTGCTTCCTCTGTTTGGATCAGAGTCTCATGTGAGCTCTGAAAGGACCCATCAGAAGCCATCTCTGCAGAATATTTGGCCAGCAAAGAGACGGCCATGCCAACTTCTCTGTACCCTGGACTCCGGAAAGCGGAGACCTCTCTGGCCAGCAGCATAGCCCGCTGGGCCTGCTGACGCAATGGCTCGGGCAGAAAGCCCAGCTCTGCCTGGCCCTTTGCCTGGGTTGCTTGAGCCAAAAGGCAGGAGCCAAGAGGCCTGGCTGGGGAGGTCCAGAGGCCCGGGGCTGCCTCTTTTCTCCAGCCCAGGGCCTGCCTCTTCATGCTCAGACTGATACTGAGACATTTGCAGAAGCAAAATGGTGAAACTGGTGCCAAATCTCTCTGCCGCATTCTACACTGACGATTTATTTTGTGTTAGGAGGTAAAGACTAATGAGAAATAGAGCCAGGCCTGAAAAGCCATCAAAATTGGACATTTGTCTCTCTGAGCTGGGGCTGCAAAGGGGGCCAGGAAGCTATCGCTTCACAACTTTTTGAATTCATTAGAGGATAGTAAGGGGCTCTGGTCTAGAAATACTCCTAAAGCATTTTCTCTCCTCTCCTCTCCTGGCTCAGAGGTCGCAGAGGGACCTGGAGCATATGTTCTGTATTGATTTGCATGTGCACACTTTCCTGCATCCATTATCTCACCTCATTAGGGCTTGGAAGGGGAAGTGGAGCCGAGTGGGACAGCAGCATGCGGTTTCCTGAACCCTGTGGAGAATTGTCCCAAACGGTAAATGAAACAGTTGCAAGGGCCGACCAGGAGCCGGCAGGTGGGCGGGCATCTCTGGGCCCAGGCCCAGCAATGCCCGGACAGTTTTGAAGGGTCCAGCTGTGCCGAAGTCACATGTCCCAGCAAGGGAGCATCCCAGACTAGGTAGCTTTTGTGATTGATGATCCCATCTGAACCCAAAGTGTCTGAGCAAAGCCCCATGGATCCCCACACACCTGCCTCTCTTGAGCAGTAAAGCAAATGGTTAATGGAAAGCAACTCCTTCCCTCATTCTTGATGGGAAAGGCTAAAGTTGACCACCTTTTAAAAATGAGGTCATAGAACTATTGTTTAGTTCTTAATGAAAATGACATAGGGAAGACCCCAAGGTCAAGGCTGATCAAGAAATGGCATGGTGATGGAAGAGAGAGTGCTCAGCTTGCCTGAGTCACTTTCATGCAGGAAATAGATATATCTCAACGGAATAATTAAAACACAGGTATAGAAATGGCCCAACCCTCACTATACCTCCTAGCAGCCCTGCCTAGGGCTATCCTCAAATGTGTGTGTAATCATTGCCTTGGATTCCTGTTTAATGTTTGCTTTTTGAGATTTTTCTCTTACACCTCTTTGAGTGAAGATTTTTGTTTCTGGACCTGGCTCAGCTGTATGAACATGAACAAACCATTTGACTCTCCCAGGTCTCAATATTCTCATCTTTTGAGTAGATGGTACCATATTGTCCTAATTACATTGTAGAAAATTTCTGAAAGCAAGATGACTAAGTAATACCTGCCAATGCACTTTTATGGTGATCAAGTGCCATGCAAAATGGATTGGTATCATCAGAACATGGATTATCCATTTATTTCCCTTGCCTGTGAAAAAGTGTCTTTATTGATTATCTATTAAATCCTTTGAAGTAATCTGGAATAGCTCTGGTCCTGCTGTAGGCAAAGCATGATGAGACTATAAAAGTGCTCTATAAGCATATTCAAAGTATGGGAATTAAGCAAATTCAAGGCTTATGGAAGAAGGGTGGTGAATCAGGTATTTGGTGATTGTTTTTGCTTCCATGCAGAATGGGAATGGGCAATGGAACATAGCTGCCTGGTGGTCCCAGGAAGAGCAGAGGGAAGGCTCCAGGTTGATGGGGTGTAAGGAAGATGCATGGGTACTCTACAGGAAGAGATTAGGTGCAGCCAGTCACGGAGCTGTGAAATGGCTCAGGTCAGGGTGTGAGATCATCCCTTCATTGATTTTGGTTTCCACTCGACAGATCACAAGTTGTCAGAAGTGCTTTTCACCCTGTGTTCTCTGAATAAAGTTTCTCAGGGCCCTGTACTTTATCAGCTCTAAATTAAGTGGTTCACAGTGCCATTTGCTTTAAGGTAACTTGAAAAGAAATCATTAGGCCCTAGAACACACAGTACAGAAAAGTGGAGTGGATTAGAAAGTAAAATCAGGCATCAGGATGACAACAGTTTACTCTCATGGAAAGGAATATCCTGCCAACTGTTCCCATACACTTCTCTTTCAAACATCCCCTGATTACCATTTTAAAACATGTGCTTATTCAGCTGCTCTCTGAGTCTGCAGTTTGGCAAAGTAAGTTGGTAGTGTTAGCCCTTACGTCCCAGCTCAGGTGCAAGGCATGCTGGGGCTCAGTTACAGAATCCAGAAGCTGTTAACTCCAGATATTCAACCGGAAGTGGGCATGGCCGTGGGGGATGCTGGGAGATGGTTGAAAAGCAGACCAGGCTGGCTGTGGTGGCGGTTCCATGATCATCCTGCCTTCCGTTTTTCATCCTAAAAGAGAGTCTAGAAGAAAATACAGAGGCCGAGTGTTCAGACCCAGCCACATAAACAATGTCCAGGGTTGAGCTCAGATTCGAGACAGGAAGGCATCCTGCACAAAGAGGGCAACTGGTGCCTGTGGCCTGCCTTGATCCAGGCACTAGAGCAAAGCTTGACTTAGGGCCACACAGAAGCATGGGCTTGGGCCTCCCATGCTGGGGCTGGGGTGCCCTTGGCAGGCAGAACTTAGAATCCTGGCCATGTTGATGGGGCTACCAGTGACAACTCAAACCCCTTTTGGCTAGCCCTATGTGGTAATTAGGTAAGGCATTGGGCCTGCCTTAATCTGGATAGAGATTTCAAAATATGGTCCTACAAGCACCCAGAGGAGTCTGACTTTTGGGATAAAGTGGTCCCCATTAAATATTATTTGCTGGTATTGAGGTATAGAACTATAAAACAGGAAGTTTTTTTCTTTGGAATGACCATCTTTTATACTTTTGACATTGCTTAGAAGAAGAGGGGATACATAGTGGTTCTAGGAGACTTTACCATTTCTACTCAACTCCACCCATGATCATTTTAGTGACTTTTCTGGTGGTGGAACTGGACTTGAGAGTAGTCAATTAATAGGACATACAGCAAACTAATTGTTCAAATTGGGCTTTTAACCTCTGGCTTCCATCTACAAGCCAAACTTGTTCCACTTGGTAGGAGGTAGTTTTAACAACCGTGGCTGATTGAAGGAGGCAGAATCAGTGTGCACAGAAATTTTGTCATAATTAGGGAAGGAAGGAAAAGTAACTATCCAGGAAATGACTTGGGTGTAGGTTGTAGGTTGGGCCTTTCTTGCAGGCAATGAGGAATCTGAAGGCAAAACTTTAGTCTTGAATCTCTGAAGGGAAGTCAGTCTTGTTTGAAAAGGTTTTTGGGTTCTTAACAATATCCAGTTCTTGAAAATCACAAACATGCCTGGCTCAACTGAAGTCAATAAGGATTTTTCTTAAGTCCTGTGTTTATTGGCCAGTACTACCTGAGTAGGACCCACATGGGCACCTGAACAGTGGGTGTTATAAGATTGTGATGGTGATAGTAAGCACTGAGGTGAATTTCCTGAACCTAAACTTGTATGTCATTATCCTGCTGAGAGAGCAGTTTCCTGTTGCATTGCTAAATGATTCTCTTTATTATATTTAAAGCACAATGTTTAGTGATTTACTCCTCTTTGTAATTAGCTGGGTGATGAGAGGAATCTTTCAGTGATTCTGTTCTTTCTCTTTAATAACACATTCACAGGGAGTCTGAAGGTGACATACTGCTTACTGAGCAAAGGAACATTTAGAGTTAGGT